TTAGAATGCTGCTTGACATATTATACTTCTCCACATTCCTGGTGTAATCATGTGTTCTTTTCTACCATATGGTTTACGTGTCAACAATTCATCAGTAGGAGGTTCAGTTGCCAAAGCCAAAGAAGCCAATGTATCCATAATAAGATTAACCCATAACATTTGAATACTAGTTAATGGAGATTCTTTTAAGAAGACTCCTCCCAAAAATGCCATAGAAACAGCAACAACATTGACAGTGACTTAAAACACAAGAAACTTTCTGATGCAATCGAATATATTTCTACCCCATTTCATTGCAGTAACAATTGAAGCAAAATTATCATCTAAAAGTATAATACCAGCTGCTTCTTTGGCAACTTCTGTTCCTTAAATTCCCATAGCAAATCCAACATCTGCCTTTTTTAATGCTGGTGCATCATTTGTACCATCTCCTGTAACTGCTACAACATTATCAAGTTATTTTAAACCAGTAACTAATAAAAATTTGTCTTCTGGAGAAGATCTTGCTAAGACTTTTAATTCTTATGCAATAGTAGTGAAATTGCTTAAATTTTTTACTTTTGGTATTTCATTTCCTTCATCATCTTTTTCATATTCTAATCCTTCAACCATTTATCTAAATGTCTTTCCTTCCATTACTGCAAGTGAATCTTCATGATGTTCATAATTTGGTGGTAATATACCAGCTTTCTTTGAAATGGCTACTGCAGTATCAAAATTATCTCCTGTTACCATTCTGACAGTTACACCTGCTTCTTTACATTATTAGACTGCTTTAATGATTCCTTCTTTTAATGGGTCTTATAATCCAGTAACTCCAATAATTGTATATGATTTATCAATTATATCTTCAACATTATTAAATTCTTCTGGTTTTGATGGTCTACCTTAGATCATTGTGTCTCTATATAACAATAAGATTGATCTTAATGATTAAGATGCATAATTCTTAATAACACTATTAATTTTTTGTTTATAATCATTGGTAATACTAAAATTTAAGAAATTATAAATACACAACAGCTCTTCCTTCAGCATTAATATAATGAGAACATTTATCTAAAAGCATATCTGGAGCACCTTTAGTATAAATTTTGAATTATGTTCTATCTCCTTTTGGATCTAATATGATTGTCATTTTTTT